GCTCGGCCAGCCCTAATTCTTTGTTTTTAAACATTTAGGTTGTTTCCAGTTTGGGACTCTTATAAACATCTTTCCTGTTACAGATCATAGATTTTTTTTCAAAGATTAATCTGCTCTATAATTACTTCCTTTCTTATATCCAGATACCATGAATAAAATTAAGACTTTCTACTTTTCCCTCTGCAGCCAGCCTTCCGCTTATTTCTAAAACCTTAAAAAATCACTAAACTTATATTGTTTGGATGGATGTAAGATAAAGTGAGTAGCATAATTCCTTAGCTCAACTTCAATGAACAATTCTATCAGGGTATTCTATATAACAATTTACCCTTAAGTATTTTTGGCTCAGCAGACAACAACCTAAAATCTTAATTTTTGCTATTTCTATAATATAATAACCAAACTCAGTTCAGTCAGTTCACTTTCTTTTAATGTCAACATAAATCAAACTGATTAAATGAAATCAAATTCACCAATATTGTTTAATTTATGTAAATGAACACCTGGGAAGTTCATCCTTACTTTAATGCCATAAGAATTTTAAAATAAGTGGTCATATATTATTTCTTACTTTACCTCTTTTTACTGTGTGGGTGGATGTTCCTCTTTTTATTTGGTAGGGAGAGTTCACCTCTGGAAACTCCCATAAAAAGAACCTTGTTGTCAACCAAGTTATTTCCCAGTTTTTATTCATCTTTTTTTAACCAATATGAGATATAACATCATGTTAGAACAAAATATCTTACCAGGAACTTAGTTTCTGCAGAAATTTATGAAATTATAAATTTCTTCATCTTAGGGTTCTTGTTTTATACAAATTTCTATTAACACAGTTCCCCACTATTCCTTATATTTCATAGGTGTGAGTGAAGTGTGTGATGTTGTTACCCTCGAATTAATGATGTGTGAGTTAAAAGACATGACTCATTCTCACTTCAAATCTCTATTGGACGAATCATGCATAAATAAATCTGTACTCCTGAAAGTCTGTTCCATGGCATAGGGGTCTCAAGAGATGGTCTATTAAAAAGTAAAGGGGTTGGGAGTGGGGAGTTGGTGGAGGATTATGCAATAAAATAAATGTTGGAAATGCTATTTCTAATATTCCCTCTTAAAAATTTACAAAGCACATTGGCATAATATAGATTCTGGAAAGCCCAGAGTAAAGAAATCCCTTTACTTCACTTAATCCAGAGTTTTCCAAAGGTCTTAACCCAGTGTCAACATATGTGTGCATGTTTATGATGCCTAACATCCTCTGTGCAATAGTCCTAGCAGCTGGGTTTCACAAGACACACTTTGCCTAACAATAACTTTTATAAGTAATATGTGGTTTATTGTTTGTAAATAGCTAGCTCCAGTTAGAAGAGAGTATTTCAATTGTTGTCTATTGCTACAGAATTATGCCAGATGATCTAACAACACAGGGAGTATTTTCAAGTGCCTAGGTGAAGAATGAAAGGTGATTATTTAAAAATCAAAGGCAAACTTGTGTTTCATTTAAAAACAGGACAAACAGAAAGACAAAAATCATGTTGTGATAGTTCTGGGCTTCACTTGGTGTTTCTTTCTTTTTCAGCTGGGAACCAAAGAAGGTTACCTCACCAAACAGGGAGGGCTAGTCAAGGTAAGGAGACTTGTGTTTGCTAGTGCCAGCCACAAAGAAAGGGAACACATCATGTACACTCAATTCTCATGTTGACACTTTGTAAAGCACAATTGCCAGCTCATTTTGACTCAGTTATAATATTTACCTGTTTCAAGAGTTCATCTTAATGGTTAATATTAGTTAAAATTCTGGAAAATTACTTGACTATTCTTTGCAAAGCCATATGTATGAGAGGAGCCTAGAGTTAATACCTATGAAAAAAAGTACAATTCCTTAGTGGAATAACCCAGGATGAAAGTAGCAAGTTAATTCTAGAACACTTCTTTTCTCCTTAATTTTTTTTAACAAAGAAGAAGCAAAATTGTAAAAATGTTACCTAAAAATAGGCCCAAAAAAATCACTGTTTTTAAAAAGCCCCAAGAAAACATAATTTAGTACTTTATTGGGGGTGGGGGAAGAGAAAGAAGAAGTTCTGCTGTCCCTTCATTTATGTGATAGTACCATTAAAGTTACTGTTTCATTTTACTACATTAAGGATACCTTTATAAAATATCTCTACTCCTTCCTATTTTAAGAGTTAGGGCACTTAACCTCTCTCACAGGTACTAGCCTGCTTGAATTGAACCTAAATATTTAGTTATTTGTGTCCCTACTAGACTGGATGCTCCCTAAGGACAGGAAGCAGTCATATTCATGACACATTTATTTTAAAATCCATTGTTACTTCTTTTAACTGGGTGCATTGTCA